ACCATGCTCGGCTAATATTTTGTATTTTTAGTAGAGATAAGGTTTCACCATGTTGGCCAGGCTGGTCTCGAACTCCTGACCTCAGGTGATCAGCCCACCTCGGCCCCCCAAAGTGCTGGGATTACAGGCGTGAGTCACTGTGCCTGGCCCAAAAAGTGTGTGTGTGTTACTTGCTGTATCATATTATATTACATATATATATATTTGTATGGTTGTCATATTAACAATACCAATATTATCATTAATAATATGTGTATTAGGATTATCCAGAGAGAACTAATAACAATAGACACGTGAGAAGGGATTTATTAGGGGAATTGGCTTATGCAATTATGGAAGCTGAGAAGTCTCATAATAGGCCATCTCCAAGCTGGAGAACCAGGAAGGTGGGTAGTCTGGCCTGGTCCAAGTCTGAAGGCCTCAGAACCAGGAAAGCTGATGGTATAACTCTCAGTGCAAGGGTGAAAGCCCTAGAATCCAGGGGGCTTCTGCAAGTCTTAGAGTCCAAAACTAGAGAACCTGGAGGTCTGACGACCAATGAATGACAGGAGAAGATGGGTGTGCCAGCTCCATAAGAGAGAATGAATTCATCTTTCCTTTACCTTTTTGTTCTAAGTCCTCAGCTGGTTGGATGGTTCCTGTCTACACAGAGGGTGCATTTTCTTTAAAAGCCCAAAATTCAAATGTCAGTCTCTTCCAGAAACACCCTCACAGATACACCCAGAAATAATGTTATACCAGCTATCTGCATATTCCTTAATCTAGTCAAGTAGACACCTAAAATTAATCATCACAATTTGCTTACTGAAAATGTTTTCTGGGAGATGGGGAGGGGATATCTTTTTAAAATATCGCTATATGTATATATCTAGTATATATCACTAGAAATATTTTTAAATCATTTGAAATATTTACTCTCCATCTGGTCATCCTAGCAATTTAATACACAGGTTTATTTGTTCGATTTTGGTTTTGATTTTTTAAAAAAGTTGACCACTTTTTTAAACAATTTAATATATAAGACCTTTACATTGTTCAAAAGGATAAAACAAGTTATATTCAGAAAAGTTTCACTTTTATCACTCCCTCCTCCACCTATTTCTTCCTTTCTTCCATATATAACATTAAAAACTTTTTCTTGGTTTATACTTCCATTTTTAAAAATATAATAATAAATACATTTACAGCTCCCCTCCCTTTACTGAATACTACATATGCTTTCCTCCAATGTGCTTTTCTCACTTAACTCTATTCTGTATCTCATTCTATAGCAGGATGCCGAGCTCTTCATTTCTTACCACATCTGCACAGTATTCCATTGTGTGAACCTAGCATTATTTATTGAATCAATCCTCTGCTGATGGACAATTAAATTGTTTTCAGTCTTTGCTATTGCAAATAGTATGACAGTGAAAATCACTGTAAACTGTTAGGTCCATAAACATGTACAGTTTTGCTAGAAACTGTTCAATTTCCCTCCACAAGGGTCATACTATCTTCTATTCAGAACAGCAACATAGAATACTTACCATGTCCCAGCCTTGGAAACATAGTATGTTGTTCAGGTTACTTTTAAAAGCAGTTTTATTTTCATATAATTTCTATATACCACTGTAATTTTTATATACCATAAAATTCACCCATTTTATGTGTACATTTTTCTTTGTAAATTTACCCACTTGTGCAGTTGTCCATTACAACAAGCCAGTTTTAGAACACTTCCATTAAGTCCTCAGTAAATTCTGCTGTGAGCACTTTTAACCAAATACTTGGTGTAGACTTATGTAGGGGGGGTGGTTAACACAGATGGCATAAAATCTGGTCTCAAAAAACATGTAATGACAAATATGGTTAAGTGTTCTTAAAGATTTTTTCCTCTATTTTTTCTTTTTTTTAGATATTAACATGATAGGTTTCTCTCTCTCTCGTTTACTCTGTCTCTCTTACTGTTCATTTAGATCTCAAGATGATAAGTAAATTTCTCCTCTCTTGCTCTCTCTCTCTCTCTGGAGCACTGTGATGGCTGGTTTTATGTGTAAATTTGGCTAGGTTACCGTACCCAGTTTCCAATTAAATACTAATCTAAATGTTGCTGTGAAAGTATTCTGTAGTTGGGTAAGCATCTATAGTCAGATAACTCAAATTAAAGGAGGTATCTTTGATAATCTGGGTAGGTGTTATCCAATCAGTTGAAAGGCCTTAGTGATAAAACTGAGGTTTCCCTGAGGAAGAAAAAAAAAAAAATGTTGCCTTTGGACTGTAGCTTCAGCTTCTGCCAGAGAATTCTCAGCCTACTGGCTTGCCCTACAGATTTTGGAATTACCAGCCGCCACAATCAGATAAGCTAATTCCTATAGTCTGTCTGTCTGTCTGTCTGTCTATCTATCTATCTATCTATCTATCTATCTATCTATCTATCTATCTATCTAATCTATCATCTATCATCTTTTACATATACATACATACATGTAAGTATAACACACACACATTCAATTCTCTTAAAAATATGCTACTCCTTAAAAGTCTTTTTATACCTTCAAGACTCATGAAATTTCTAAATATTACTGAACAGCTCAAAGAGAATATTTATAAGGATGAATATGATATACATTCTACCAGAGAAATAGGACATTATATCTCCTATTGTTCCATTTATCTGGTAGAACTCTGATATGTGCACCCCACCACTACCAAACTTCAGTTCAACCATATGGATAAGTATAACCTTTCTGGAATTCTGCCTTTGTGTGGATGTTCTCGCAGCCTTTACAGGTTCATGTTTTTGACTATTCTCTCCAGCATATAACCACTTAGGATAACTGGATATGCCCATGGCAAACAGCAGCATCAGATATGCTTATTAACACTCTAGATTTTTACTTTATTATCTGTGACTATCTATGACAAGGATCTTCCTTCTTTTCCCAACAGTTTAACCAAGTACTTTAAAAGATGTTTAAAAAAATACTTTCTCCAGATTATTTAGTCCGATACTGGAAGACTTTCTCTGGACATCTCATCTTCCATGTAACCAGAAATGGAAATCATCATATTCATTCTTATTCTCTGAGTATCTCAATAATATTTAGAATATTCCAGGAGTCGTCAAGGTATAAAAAGACTTTTAAAGCATAGTATATTTTTAAGGTAATTGATTTTCAGATATTTTAACTCCATATATACTCCCTCCTACGATGTATATGCCCAAGAATGTGGTCTGACGGTTCTCCTTTCTCGCCTCTCATCATAACCAACCTTACACTATTGTTCAAAAAGAGCATTTCACTCTCATTCTGAATCTTACTCATGCTTTGCTCTGTGATACAAAAACCTGGATGACAAAGGATAATTTAAGAATTAATAGCTCCAGAGTAAGAGTTCCATGAAAGCAAAACAAAAGGAGTTACTGTGCAAAATGTGAAAGCAGCCAGTGCCACAGTGGATCTCATGAAGACCGAGAGTAGACAGGTGGTTACCAGAGGCCAGAGAGAGTGGTGGGGAGAGGGAAATGAAGACAAGTTGATTAACAGGTACAAACATATGGTTTGGTAGAAGAAATAAGATCTAGTGTTAGATAGATCAGTAGGGTGACTATAGTTTACAATGATCTATTGTGTATTTCAAAATAACTGGAAGAGAATCATTCAAATGGTTCTAGCATAAAGACAAATATTTAAGGTGACGGATATCCCAAGTACACTGATTTTATCTTTACACATTATAAAAATATATCAAGTTATCCCATGTACCCTGAATTTATGTACATCTATTGTGTACAAATTTACAAATTAAAAAGAAATAAAGCAGCAGTGCCTTGGTTCATCCAAGACACAGACTCATAACAATGCTTCATGCCTTCTCTAAGAGTTAGGATTCAAAAATGAGATTATTGTCACAGGAATATATATATTAACATTTTCATTTTCAAATCAAAGTAAGCCTTTTTCTAACAAAGTATAGTTATGTGCCACATAATTACATTTTGGTATAAGATGAATGAACCACATATACAACAGTGGTTCCCAAGATTATAGGGAGCATACATAGAAGCCTGATATATGGCACTTGGTATTGGCACTGCAGATCAAGTAGGGGACATGACTGATATTCAGTAATGGTGCTGGGACATTTGGTTTTCCATATGAAAAGTACATATAAATAAAAATATAAACACTATCTAGGTTTGTGTAAGTACACTCTGTCATGTTCGTACAATGATAAAATCACCTAACAATGCATTTCTCAGAACGTATCCCCATCATTAAATGATGCGTGACTGTGTAAGTTTGATTTTGCTCATTAGTTTGACAATAAGAACAGACTTTGTACCTCAAAATGGACAGGCAGACATCCTCCACAAACTGATTGAGCTAATTATGTAGCTTCAAGGTTATGATGGAAAATACACTTAAAGCACGTGAACTATACAATATGCCAGAAGTTATATCTTTTATAATACTTACATATATGGTTTAAAAAAATAACAAATGTGAAGTTAAAAATGTGCAGGGATGAGATATGTAATTTTAAAAAGTTATTTTAGGGCTTTAACAAGTTTGAGGGTCATTAATGTATACCATTTTCTTTCTCTAACATTTTTGTTGTTTTTAAAATTACTATTACAATTACTGTTTTAGTACTTTACCATTTTAGGAATAGGTTTTAGAATTAATAATTCAACCTATTTCACCTAGTAACAAACTATGAAAAGAATAATCAGAGGTACTACCCAGTTGCTAAATACAGTGAAATTTTAGTTGAAAATTAGTTTTGATTTTAATGAGCCCTTAAAGATAGTTCAACCTAATTTTAATGACATACACAATGTGCTCATTTTAGCATTATATCTAGTGGCCAGAAACTGTGCCAAATATCAAAATAAATTGTGGTATGTTTATCAACAGAATACAGCAGTAACAATGGATGAACTAATGGTACACACAATTTGTGGGTTAACCTTATAACTAATGTCAAGTAAAGAATCCACACAAACAAGTGCATAATGTATAAATCCATTTATATAAAGTTCAAAAACAGGCAAAATGAATCAAAGGTGATGAAAGTCAGAAAAACTGCTCTGTTTGGGAGGTAGTGGCTGAGAAAAGGCAGGAATGAAGCTCTCAGGTGTTGCCGATATTCTACATCTTCACCTTGGCAGTTGTTACACAGGTGTTCGCGACATAAATATCTATCAGACTGTATACACTTTTGTCCACTTTTTGAATGCATTGTATACTTCAGTAAAAGTTTACTAAAAAGTAAAAATAAAAAAGACGTTGTGCTTCTTGTTACCAAAATAAAACCATGGCAGATATTTTGGTAAATATTCTATTTTTCCCATCTTCTACTGTTGCTGATGACAGGGATGGTATTCAGGTGAACACTTCGTTACTTATAATATCATTTAGCTTTAGCCTGTGCAGCCAGTGCAGCTTCTTCACGCCACTTAGCTTTCTTTGCCAAGTTCCAACTTGTTAAGGATTCATGTCGTTCTACAGCCTGTGGGGGAGGGGGGAAGAAATATATTTATATAGTTATATATATAATACATAAAACTATATATATATTTATATATTATATATTTATATAATATAAATATGTAAATACATAAAAATATACTATATTAATATATAAATATATATAGTTTTATATATTATATATATAACTGTTACTCTCTGGAAACTGGAAAAATTTGTATTTCAAATAGAAATACACAGGAGAGAATAGAATTAGAAGTTCTAACGTATGTTAATAATGGGAAGAGAGAATAGACTGAATGGGTAAAGAGGCCATATTCAAAGTTATGACAGCATAGACTTTTTCAGAAGTGAGGAAAGCTGTAAGTCCTCAAACTGAAAGGCATACAAAGTCCTTAGGGAAATAAATAAAAATTTAATATATACTGATGGATACCTAGTGTGCATCTCACACTTAATATAGCCAAAATAGAGAGTTGACATATTTTGTTCCCCCTGCCTACCAGTCTTTCCCTAGCCATACACATCTCAATAAATGGCAGTATCATCCACCTACTTGCTCAAGTCAAAAAACCCAGGCCTTTTCACTTCTTTATTCCATTTTCTTTTCTGCTTCCACAATGAATTCACCACAAAGTTCCATTCTTTTTACTTCCCCAAATTTATCTGAACTTGCTAACCTTTTCTCCATCTCCATCTGCCACAATTTATTTAAGGTACATGCATTGTTATTAAAAATGAAAAATGAATTGGGGACGGGCAAGTGGGACAGTGGTGGGACCATTTAGAAGATATTACAATAAACCAGGCAATAGATGTATATTGGTATGTCAGGAGAGATACTGAGGAGTGCTCCAATTTGGCTATATTTTGAAAGTGGAGCCAGTGGGGTTGCTGATGACTTATCCATGAGCAGCTAGAAAGATAGAGTTGATATCAACTGAGAGGCGGAAGACAGTACAGAAAGCAGTGGCTTAGGGTTGTATGGGGGAAGATCTAGAGTTCAACTGTTGACACACTAAGTTTGAGATGTCCATTAGACATCCAAAGGGAAATGTTAAGTAAGCAACTGACTATATGAATTTGAAGTGCAGAAGGAAGATATTAGCTGAAATATAAATTTGAGAGTCCTTGGAATGTAGAAGGTATTTAAATCCAGAAGACTTGGTAAGATCATCGAGGGAGTAGGTATAGATAGAGAATGGAAAGACTAAAGACTGATCCATGGGGAGATTCCACTGTTATGAAGTCCAGGAGAATAGGACAAATTGGCAGAGTAAACTTGGAAGACGTGGCCAAGAGACAACCTACGTGAAGGTGGTACCACGGAAACCAAGTGAAGAAAATGTTTCATAAAAGATAAACAATTTTCATTCCCAATGCTCTCACTTCAGAGCTTCTGAGGATTTTTATGGAAGGACAATGGCTAGTATGCATTCTCCAACAAAGGGTAAGTGAAAAATGCCACATTGGCCTATTCCAGTGTTTTTCATATATCCATTTATAACCAGCTATTTCCCTATGTGCCAAAAATATTCTTTTCTTGGTTGAAGAATGGGGAGACTGGCTACTGTGTGCCAGAATTCCTGTAGAGGGGTGACTTTGAGGTGTAGGTAGACCAAATTCCTTTATAATCCTGATATTCTCAACCTAGACATATTTTCAGCAGCTCCAGTAGATTGAACTCAGATTGAGCAGAATCCAAGGGAGGGAAGATACTGATTTGGCAGAAGAAAATATTTGCTAATCAGCAGAATTGTCAACTGCCTCTCCAGAACGTAATGAGATTTATCAGTACCCAAGTATCCAAACATAGTGTCATATTGAGTCTAAATAAACAGTCTTCAAAGTAGGATAAGAACTACAATGTCCACTGAGGTCAAGAAAGCAATAGCAACACATTTCATCTTTTCTTAAAAAGAAAAACTGCTAACATTTAATAGAATAGTTGAGGAATAGAGAATTCCTATGTCAGAAGTTAGAGATATCTTGAAGAACCTGTGACCATTCTATAATACAGAAGAATATAAAAGCACATCTCACTTTGTTGTGCTTTGCTTTATTGTGCCTGCCTTCCTTTCTTTCTTTCTTTCTTTCTTTCTTTCTTTCTTTCTTTCTTTCTTTCTTTCTTTCTTTCTTTCTTTCCTTCCTTCCTTCCTTCCTTCCTTCCTTCCTTCCTTCCTTCCTTCCTTCCTTCCTTCCTTCCTTCCTTCCTTCCTTTCTTTCTTTCTTTCTTTCTTTCTTTCTTTCTTTCTTTCTTTCTTTCTTTCTTTCTTTCTCTTTCTTTCTTTCTCTCTCTCTCTCTCTCTCTCTCTCTCTCTCTCTCTCTCTCTTTCTTTCTTTCTTTCTTTCTTTCTTCTTTTTATTTAAATTGAAGGTTTGTGGCAACCTTGCATGGAACAAGTCTATAGGCTCCATTTTTCCAACAGCATGTGCTCACTTCGTGTCTCTCACATTTTGCTAAGTTTTGCAATATTTCAAACTTTTTCATTTTCATGACATCTGTTATGGTCATGTGTAATCAGTGATTGCTGTTGGTACTACTGTACTTGTTTTAGGGTGCCACAAGTTGTGCCCATATAAAAGAGCAAACTTAATTGATAAACATTGTATGTATTCTCATCACTCCACCCACTAGCCAGTCTCCCATTTCTCTCCCTCTGCTTGGGCCTCCCTATTCCTTGAGATGCAACAATATTGAAATTAGGCCAATTAATAGCCCTATAATGGCCTCTACATGTTCAAGTAAAAGAAAGAGTTGTACATCTCTTACTTTAAAAAACTAGAAATGATTAAGCTTAGTGAAAAAAGGCATGTTGAAAACCAAGATAAGTCAAAAGCTTGGCGTCTTGTGCCAAACAGTTGACCACGTTGTGAATGCAAAGGAAAAGTTATTGAAGAAAATTAAAAGTACTACTCCAGTGAACACCCAAATAAAGCAAAACAGCCTTATTACTGATATAAAAACTGTTTTAGTGGTCTGGAAAGAAGATCAAACCAGCCACAGCATTCCTTTAAGCCAAAGCCTAATACAGAGCAAAGCCCTAACTGTCTTCAGTTCTGTGAAGGCTGAGAGAGGTGAGAAAGCAGCAGAAGACAAGTTGGAAGCTAGCAGGGGTTGGTTCATGAGGCTGAATGAAAGAAGCTCTCTCTATAACATAAAAGTGCAAGGTGAAGCAGCAAGTGCTGATAGAGAAGCTACAGCAAGTCATCTAGAAGATCTAGTATAGCTAACATCGTTGATGAAGGCTATGCTAAAAAACAGTTTTTCAATGAAGACAACATAGCCTCATATTGGAAGAAAATGCCATCTAGAACTTTCAGAGATAGAGAGAAGTCAATGCCTGGCTTTAAAGCTTCAAAGACAGGCTGACTCTCTTGTTAGGAGCTATTGGCAGCTGATGGCTTTAAGTGGAGGCCAATACTCAGTACCATTCTGAAAATCCTAGGACTCTTAAGAATTATGGTAAATCTACTTTGCCTGTGCCATGAATGGAACAATGAAGCCTGGGTGACAGCATATCTGCTTACATAGCTTTCTGAATACTTTAAGCTCACTGTTGAGACTTACTTCTCAGAAAAAAAAAAAGGTTCCTTTCAAAATATTACTTCTCAGTGACAATGCACCTGGTCACTCAAAAACTCTTATGGATATTTACAAGGAGGTTAATGTTTTCATGACTGCTAATACAACATCCATTCTTCAGCCATGGAAAAAGGTGTCATTTCAACTTTCAAGTCTTGTTATTTAAGAAATACATTTTGTAAGGCTATAGTTACCATAGATAGTGATTCCTCTGATGGATCTGAGCAAAGTAAATTGAAAACCTTCTGGAAAGGAGTCACCATTCTAGATGGCATTATGAATATTTGTGAATCACAGGAGGAGGTCAGCATTAATAGGAGTTCAGACAAAGCTGATTCCAATCCTCATAGATAACTTTGAGGGGTTCAAGGCTTCAGTGGAGGAAGTATGAGGAAGTAACTGCATATGTGATGGAAATAGCAATAGAACTAGAATTAATAGTGGAGCCTGAAGACAAAATTGAAGTGCTATAATCTCATGATAAAACTGTCACAAGATGAGTTACTTCTTACAAATGAGCAAAGAAAGTGGTTTCTTGAGATGGAAACTACTGCTGGGGAAGATGTTGTGAGCATTGGTGAAATTAGAGCAAAAGATTTAGAATATCACATAAACTTAGTTAATAAAGTAGTGGCAGGGTTTGAGAGAACTGACTCCAATTCTGAAAGAAGTTTTACTGTGAGGAAAATGCTGTTAAACAGCATTGCATGCTACATGGAAATCTTTCATGAAAGAGTCAACTGATACGGCAAACTTCATTGTCATCTTATTTTAAGAAATTGCCACAGCCACCCCAACCTTCAGCAACCACCATCCTGATCTGTCAGCAGCCATCAACATCAAAGCAAGACCTTCCACCAGCAAGAAGATTACAACTCATTGTGTACTGTAAACAAAACTTTTATATGCATTGGGAAATCAAAAAATTGGCATGTCTCACTTTACTGTAATATTCACTTTATTGTGGTTGTCTGGAACTGAACCCACAATATGTCTGAGGTATGCCTGTTTTCATTCATTTCAATACTGTTAGAATAGATATTAATAAATAAGAATGGTTTCTTGTTTGGCCAGAAAATGACATGGCATCTTTAAATACTTATATGGATAATTTTGTAAGCTTAAACAAAGTCTCTAAACAATTTATGGGGTTTTGAATCCATTTGGTACAAAATTCAAAACTACTATATCTTCCAATTATTTTGCAAGAATGAAATAGCTGAAGAACATCAGGGAGGGTAAGAAATTACTGGGCACATTTCAACAAAAGCTTTGGCATAGTTGGTGGATAAAATTAAGTATTAGCACCACCATTTAGTAATCACAGCTAAAGAGATATTTCTTTTACTGGATCTATGTACCAACAACATGTGGCATATTTTCAATTACAACATTATAACGAATATAAAATTGCAAAATTGTAGACAATAATAAAGCATTTCCATTATATTGTTATTACATGAAAATATTATGTTAATATATAATATGGTATATTATATGTCATACATATTAATACAATTTTAGGGAAAATGTTTTTGTGTCATTCACAAACAAAGTGCAATTTATTGGATGCATGCAGTGGCTCATGCCTGTAATCCCAGGACTTTGAGAGGACAAGGCAGGAGGATCACTTTGAGCTTAGGAGCTTGAGGCCAGCCTGGGTAACGTGGCAAAAACTAATTTCTACAAAAAATACCAAAAAAATTAGCCAGGCATGGTCATTCATACCTGTGGTCCCAGCTACTTAGGAGGCTGCACCTGCAGAATCCCTTGAGCCTGGCAGGCAGAGGATGCAGGGAGCCAAGATCGTGCCACTGCACTCTAGCCGGGTGAGAGTGAGACCCTGTCCTCCTCCACATCCCTCCCCCCACCGCCAAAAAAAAAGAAAAGAAAAAACAACACAAGCAAAACACAATTTATGTAAATTAAAGAAAAAAGAGGTGGAGAGACCAACTGTGTCAAATGCTGATAGGTCAATGAAGATGAGCGTATTATTGGTGACCTTGAAAACAGCAGTTTGGTGGAGGGTTTGAGGCACGAGCCTGATCAAACAGGGAATGAGACAGGAAATCAGAGACAGTGTATATAGACAGATCTACTGAAAAGGTTTGCCACAGAGAAATGCAGCCATATCAAAAGAAGTTTTGTTTTTGGTTTTGAAGAGGGAAATAGAAACATCTCTATGTTTTGATAAAAAATGATACAGTAGAGAAGAAATAAAACTAATGACGAGCAAAGAAACCTGAGAATTCCTGGAATGAAATCCTTGAAAAGGCAAAATGGAATGGGATCCACAGCACAATTCATAAGAGCTTCTAGATTGGAGCAAGGATCATTTATAATAGGCAGAAAAGCAAAATATACAGGATTATGTGTCATAAGACTGGAAACTGCTCCTTGGGCTGCTACAATTCTCTCAGTGAGGTGGAAGGAAAGGTCATCAATGGGGAGGACTGTGGAAGTGTAAGGTCCGAGGAGAGAGAAAGCATGAAATAGTTGGACGGCTAGACTTCTTTTCCTGTGTTTAAGAGGCATGTGCATTTTATTTTCTGCAAACTCTGCCTTTTTGTATCTTTTACCCATTTTTTTTAAATAAAAGGTTGTTGCTGTTTGATTTAGTGGAGCTCCTTATAATTTAAGAAAATTAGCTCTTAGTTTGTGATCTATTTTGTATTTCTCCCAGTTTGTCATTTGTGTTTTTACTTTATTTATGGCACTTTTTTACCAAGCAGAATTTTAAATACATTTATATGATTAAATTTACCTATCTTTTCTTTTGTATGGCTTCTCAGTTTTGTTCTATATTTAGAAATGTCTGCCCAACTACTCTAAAGAATTCCCTCATATATTCTTTTGGTGATTTTAAGGCTTCGCATTTAATGCAAAAATCTTATATCCAACTGCAATTTATTTTATATAGAAAGTATAGTTGGAATGTCCCAATATCATTTCTTGACTAATTTATCTTTCTCCACTCATATATAGAGTCACTATTTCACATATTAAATCCCTATGTAGTGGGTTATTTATGTGATTTGAATTCAGTTCTATTAAATTGCCTATTTGTATGTCAGTACTGCAGTTTTAATTATTGTTGTTGTTTTGTTTTAATATATTTTAGAGCTAGTCCTCCCTTAGAACTATTATTTTTAGTATTTCTTGTATATTTTGCTTATTTTTGTATATGAATTTTAGACTCAGTTTGTCTACCAAAACAAATCCTATTGCTATTTTTATTGCAGTCATGTCAACTTTACAGACTTAGAGAAGTTTGCTGTCTTTAAAATGTCAAGTCTTCCTATTCCAAATAAAAATTTCTTAGGTTATACCTTCTCTGGTGACCACTGGTAGTGTTTAAAAGTTGCCTTTATATAGATATTGCATGATTTTTAATTTCATTGTTACGTGCCTTAGCTTTTTTTTTTGTTTGTTGCTATTTTAAGTAGGGTCCTTATTTCTGATCTTTCTTTTCACTGGGTTTTGAATAAAGAGGAGAGTGAAAATTTTTAAATCTTGTCACTATCTTGCTTAAAACTCTTCATTGGATTCCCCAATGTATTTTTAAAAACCTGAACTATTTGCAGTGACCCATAGGCCGGATACTATCTGGACTCTCCCTGTTTCATACCATCTTCTCTTTGCTTATTATACTCCATCCACACTAGCTCCTTTTTGTTTCTTAACACACCAGACCCTTTCTCATCTCTAAGCTTTGCACATGCTGTTCTTTCCTTCCCCTGGTCTTCTCATGGCTAACTTATTCTCATCCTCCTCAGAGAGGACTTGCCTGACCACTCCATCAAAAATGGCGTCTCCTAGAGTGTTACTATTTTATCATCCTGTTCCTTTCCTTCATTGCACTAAGAATTCCTCAGATCTTTTTAGTTTATGTGTTTACTTGATCACTCTTCATTTTCCCTACTACGAAATACCTGTATTTTAATTCCATGATATTCTAATAATAAAATGCAGAGTGCCTGGCATGTCTCAGGTGCTCAAAAGTATTTAGTGTATTAATGATTGAAAATCAGTGTTTGCTGTCACACTTTTGGAGAAGAGGAAACAGCAATAACTAATGCTATACGTAAAACTCAATTTATTCTCAGTTGCTACTTTTTGTGTCAGATTCACACAGAGAAAAACCCTGGCTATTGATTTATAATAGAATTATATTTGAAATATGGAATTTTAATAGGAAATGGAAAAATCTTTCCCTCAATTCAAATCATATGTATTGAAAATAAAATGATGACATCAGTAGATCTCTAATAGGCCAACTTGCTCATAAAATATACATTAAATGTAATTGATCTTAATGTCTCATTTGGAAACTTGTGATTACCATTAAAAAACATTAAAGTGCCATTATAAATAAATTATTAGTGGGTGATTCTAAGTACACAAATTGTCTAATTAATGTTTATCTTTTTGATGTAGCTGAGGCAATACACTAATCATCAAAATATTCCTAGAAACTAGAGAATCATCAATTTGGCAGGCAGTCATTTATTTAAGGTTAGGTTAAAAACAAAACATTATCAAAGTTATTTATTTACATGCTTGAGTGTTGAGTTCAGTAAACATTAAAAAATTTCTCATTTGGTGAGAACAATTTCATAGCATAGATTTTTTTTCCAGGCTAATAGGAATGAAAAGACATTTATATAATATCAGTAGGCTTGTAAGTCCTAATCCCTGCGTGAAGTTAGTGGGCTCAGATATACTTGGGCACCTGAGGAGTAAAGGACAGAATCACAGAATTGGGCAGAATAGTAAATAGCTAAATATGCCCAGAGAGTGAGGTTTATGGAGCCAAGAAAACTATTATGAATGATATGTATGCACTCTTGAAATGCAGTGTTCATAACCAAAAACGTTATAATCCAGGTCTAATGGCTTCAGTTGCAGGTGCCACGATGAGGAGGGGCACTGTTAAAATGGAGTGTGTTGAGAACAGCTCCATGGTACAAGGAAGTTGTTAGAGTGGTTAAAACTGAAGAAGCAAATACTCTTAAGGATATGTTAGAAATGTCAAAATACTTGTGGGGCTGCTCTTTGTGGTAAAAAGTGACCAGTAGATGGAAGGATTTTTTGGGAGGCAGAAAACAAAATTAGAGGGTAGTCAGCTCTTAATTTCTCTCTAGAGGTATTAAACAGAAACCATACATTGGGAATGGCAAGGAAAGGGCTGACATACAGGATCCAGACAAACTAGATGACCTTGGCAATCACTTCCAACCTTTGCATTTCTAACTAGTTCATATCTCTGTGCAACAGCTAATTGAGTTCCTGATTTAATGAATGACCTAGTCTGGATAACCTTCAATGACAAAGGTCTCCGTCTTCTGCAGATTTTAACCAGGGTATAAACTGTCTTGTTTTTGTTTTTAAGTTGAAACAAGCATTTGTCCCTCCCGGCCATATAGTGTTGATTTGTTGACTCAAATTTCCATGAACGAATTTGTGTCCAGTGTTTTATATATATATGACTTCAAGTCTCAAAGACAAAATTGTTCTTATATTAAAAGACAGCAGTAATCCTGAATCGAGAACAATGTCCATGACATTTCTTAAAATTCACCCTTTGGTCTAAGGAGGTACTCACCCTTTTGGTGAGATATTCTTTTAAGGAGGTACTTAAAAAGAGGTACTCACCCTTTTGGAGGTACTCACCCTTTTAACTGACTTGCCCTTTTAAGGAGGTACTCACCCTTTTGGTTGACACTATCACAGCAAAGCAGGCGATAATTGTGAGTCCAATCATTATGTAACAAGCTTTCACTCGAGCTTTGTTTCTTGCAGTGACTATCATTTCTGGCCTAAATGAAGATGTGTATTTTGTTAAATATGTATAAGTAATATGGTTTTCTGACAGGCATGATAGATAATTCGCCTTGTAAACATTCCAAAAAATTCCCTGAATGCAAACCGCATTCGGTGACATTTTCATGTGAAAGACATTGAAATGCTCGTTGGTTATTTTTTACCAATTTCAAATTAACAAGTATTTATTCAGATCTTAAACTAATGTTAGCCATTATGAAACCACTATATAGAATATTAGTTTCTAATTCCACAAAATATAACTACTAAAGAGGCTAACTTGCTCTCCATTGTTTTTATTCACTAAGTTGGATAAAGGAAGAGTTAAAGCATATTTAGCCTCTTTGTTAAGTAGGCTTTGTTTTCCATTTGAACAGTTTTTTTTTTAACTCATTTTTATCACTTTGTTTTTTTCACTGGCCTCCCAGTCTCTTGTCCCTTCACATGCTACCCCAAAAAGACACTATTATCCAGTTCGTGAGAATGTCTGTTAGAAAAATATTTCCTTCATGGATTTTGCAATGATTTTTTTAAAAAAGGGATCAAAATCACAATAATTTGCCAAAGAAAAAGATAAAAGAGACCTTCATTTTCATGTTATTATTATTCTGAAATTTGATATACTTAAATTTTAGATATTCTTATTCATTCACAGTTTTATGCATGTTGTCCAAGATTTTAATAATACTACTTACAAAGTAGTGATACAAAAGCCATCATGCCTGTGGGACTTTTACGTTGAAATAAACTTTAACAATTTTCAATAATATGAAGTGGCAGTTTATAAATAGGCATAAAGAATTTCATTCATAAGAATATATTCATTGGCAGTCTTTTCTATCTATGTGAAGTTTAAATAGAGTGTAGTTGCATTGAAAAAAAATCCAGAAAGACAAAGTTGCATTTTCTTTTAAAAATAGAAAACTTTTTAACTTTTCCACTGGTCGAAAGACTACAGAAAACTCCTATGTAGCCTACTTTCTTTAGATTTTAGGCAGAATGATGTAAGTTTTAAGATGTTAGTTGCTGGCCGGGCATGGTGGCTCAAGCCTGTAATCCCAGCACTTTGGGAGGCCGAGACGGGCGGATCACGAGGTCAGGAGATCGAGACCATCCTGACTAACGCGGTGAAACCCCGTCTCTACCAAAAAAACACAAAAAACTAGCCGGGCGTGGTGGCGGGCGCCTGTAGTCCCAGCTACTCGGGAGGCCGAGGCAGGAGAATGCCATAAACCGGGGAGGCGGAGCTTGCAGTGAGCTGAGAGCTGGCCACTGCACTCCAGCCTGGGCGACAGAGCGAGACTCCGTCTCAAAAAAAAAAAAAAAAAAAAAAAAAAAAAAAAAAAAAAAAAAAAAAAAGATGTTAGTTGCAAACAGGTCCAATTAGTGAGTATGGAGAAATTATTAGATTATATCTGCTGCTAACTTTTGTTCCAGATGGAACCTAGAAGCTCTGATCTTTTTTACCCAGTCATTTGGCTTTAATCTATTATAACAAATTAGTTTAGCACTGAGAAAAACAAGACAAAGTACAGTTATTATTAAACATAATTAGTGTATGATACAAAAATTATAGGTCACTTGTTCATTATATGTCCATTAAAAGGTAAAAGCTGTTTACATTGTAAGTGTGACACTTAGTTTAACAGGAATCTCTCTCTTAAATAGTAATGCTTAAAAAATTATAGAAAAATAATAAAATGAAAAATACTCAAATACTTTTTGTTTCCAATGCAAAACTGCAATGCTTTTTATAGGCATCTTGTTCTTAGTGAAGTGTTCCTGCTTATAATACATCTTTTGACTATGATCTTGGGGAAATTAAATTATTTCTGTAAAATGAGTCTGTTCACACATACAGCTATGTTAAATGCAATACTGGGCATAGATTTTCTCGACAAACAATATACAATAATGTTGGTTCTTTACACTCTTGATTACTCGGTTAGGCCACTAGAAATAAGAATTCAAACCAATTGAGGGTGGTAGCTTATTTATTTTAATTATTTTTTACTTTTGTTTGGTATTTAATGTATTAAATTTTCAGGCATTAATTACAATTTGATAACCAGAGCTTATGATGATAAAGACTTTTGTGAGGCTAATTTTTGCTTTCAGCTAAGTCTGTAGTTTAGAGTGTATAGATCTCGAGGAAAAGTAATCTTAGAAAGTGACTCTGTAGTTGAATAAATACTGAAAACGGATTCAAATGCAATGTTATTTCAAATTCCATGTCCATTTCTCATTTAGTGACTTGCTCCAATAAAAGAACGAAAATGCTTCAGAATTCATTATTGAGTGTACATTTCCCGCCATGTTCTCCCACCCCGCCCCCCATCTATCTGAGATGCTTTGCTAACTGATAAACTGCAATTGTTTATAAACAATAACATTGCAGGCACCATGTGAAAAACAGAAAAATAGGCCCAGTTTCCATTATCCATTCTAATAGGCATTCATTACATTGTACAAATACACAGAATCTCTAAAATCCTTCTTTCACATCACGGCTTTAGTGTTTTTTTTTTTTTTTTTTTTTTTTTTAACGTAAACTTAAAAAGTGGTAGATTGATTTTATTCTTAGTTTCTGTCCCTCTCTTTTTTAACCCAATCCCTTGTAAAAATGCTGCAAAGGTTTTTGGGCTTGGCAGAAACAGAAACTTTGGAAAGATTTTTTTACAGGTTACGTTTACTTATTATTAGCATTTATTTTACAGGTTACATTACTCTAGAGTGGGAGTTATTAGCTTGAGTTTTATCTTCTGTCTTGGTGGGTTTAGCATGCTGAAGAGGCCCATGGTGCTGACACTCCCGCGCGTCCCACCCTGAGTAAACCCGGAGCCTAGAGGGCTGCAGAAACGCGTCCGCCAGGCGTCTCCTGCCCCAGAAGAGGAGGCCGCATGGATGCGGCTTTTTTTCCAGAGACCCCGCCCCGCCCAGCCGCCCCCGCAAGCCAAGATCAGGGAACCCCTTTTGGGTAGGGTAGGGGGGCGCCCCCGGCCAAAGCCTGGATTGCAGTCTGGCGTCTCCGCAGCCGTCCGGATGCTCGCGAGGACCGTGGCCTGTTTGGCACAAGAGCCCCACTGCCTCCCTGTTCGGGGCTTGCTGGGGACCGGCAATCTAGGCAATGCTGGAAGTGTCCCCTGAACCTCTCAGTTTTCAGCCACCTTCTGCAATCTCCCTGAAAGCTTAGTTGACTCTTGACACACCGCACTGCAGGCGGGGTGTGTGTAGGTGAACTCCGTGTGTGGTGGGTGTTATCGCTAAGTGTTGGCACTGCGGCCGCTTTCGATCCTAGGTGGCCGCGGTCGGAAGGTGGGTGACCCCGCACCCTTGCGGCCGGGGACCGACTCTCTTTCGCGCGGCGCTCGCCACACTTACGGGATCCGAGGCGGGATCTCCTCCATCGATTTGAAACGCCCCGTCCACAGCAGGATTTTCTTGTCGAACTGCGAAGGCCGGCGCTGCGCGGGAACTCGGTGAATCTCCCCTGTAGCGAAAGCAACCCAGATGGACGAGGGAACTGACTGACCAGCACGGAGGATCAGCGCGCCCTCAAACCGACTCCCGGGCCGTCCCCTCGTTGCCCTCCCACAACCTCCCCGCTCCCGGGTCCTCCCCGTCCGAGCCCTGGCTCACCGTGACTTTGGGGCCCAGAATTTCTGGGGGCCCCGCCGCTGGAGTAGCAGGGGAGACCCCGGGACAGAAGAGCCTGTGCGGGCTGCCACGTGGCCTCGAGAGGCCCCCCGGGGCCGCAGCCGACTGTTAGCCGGCGGCCGAGGCGCAGTAGGCTCCCGACTGCCCTGAGCATGCTGCCCGCTTGTCCCGCGCCGCACCCGCACCTCCGGACCCAGCCACAGGCGTTCTCCCCGCAGCTCTCCTTGTCCCGCCCTGCAGCGCCCCGGAGAGCCTGGGACGTGCAGCTGGAACCCCTGGCGCTCGCACACTCAGTTCGCTGTCCCCGTCTCCGCCCCCGGCCAGCGACCCGGGATCAGGGCGTCAAGCCCCTAGGGGCTGGTTCCTCAGGAAGTCAGCCTGCCTCCGTTTGAAATAGGCTCACCACCGCCTGAGACAGTGCGTGCAGCTCCTTTTAAATTCTTTGTATTGAGTAGAAATGTGTTTCCGCTAGGCTTTTAGCCTTTGAGTCCATCGTTTGTTCCCCAGGAGAATAAATCTAAATCCTCTCCTCCAGGAAGAGACAACAATCCTCCAAGTGCAGGAAACTGAAGACATTTCCCAGTAAGTGTAAGGGCACTCCACGAACTTCCGGATGAGATTTCTTGAAGTTAGCTCCTCACTTCATCCTCTCCCACCTCCATACCTTTTCTCTTTCCTATGGAAAATAACCTCAGTTCCTCCAACTGTCTTTCTCTATCTTTTCTTTTCAGAGACAGCCGCCGGCTCTGTCACTCAGGCTGGAGTGCAGTGGCATGCTGATAGCTCACTGTAACCTCGAACTCCTGGACTCAAGTAATCCTCCCGCCTTAGCCTCCAGAGTAGCTAGGGCTTTGGTCGTGCGCCACCAAGCTCCACTATTTTTTTTTTTAAGAGATAGGATCTCACTATGTTGCCCAGACTGTTCTCCAACTCCTGGCCTCAAGCTATCCGCTGGACTCTGCCTCTCAAAGCACCGGGATTACCGGCATGAGCCGCCATGCCAGCCTCCTACCTCTTCATCACAACCCACAAACTCTCCACACTCTCTTCAACATGTGCCTTTCTTCTGTCACCTTCCACCATCTCCTCTATGCTAAAAGGTAAAAGAATCTATTATTTTCAGGCATTGAATGGTAACAGGGATTCAGATTCAATGACGGGAGAGAAGCGTTGTACAAGCAATTTACTGATCTTGTTCCACAGACAACAGACCTCCTGTCAAGTCAAAGTGCTCATCAGCCCAGCACCAGGCCCAGCTCACCCTCCTCTCCTGTCACTGCCTGTGAGGTTCCCTCCTTATCTAGACACTGCTTTACGCTTGTTGGATTTCTAGATATTTTTCTTCCTAACTAGACTGTCAGGCTCTTGAAGGCAATAACTTTTCTGTAATTGCCAGCCCAGTTTTTTTTTTTCTTTTTACGTAACAGTGTTAAACAAAAAAGGAGGGGTTAATAGCTCTGTGAAGACATGCATTTAGAGGAGCGCTTGCAGAGGGACCATGGGCTTTGTCTTCACACCTAGATTTAAATCCCAGATTTGTGACTTAAAAGTTGCACAATCGTGAGCAGTAAATCATGTAAGTTATAAGGCTTGGTCTCTTTTGTAAAACCAGAATTCCTATCTTTTAGATTTATTCATGCAATGACTACCAATAACCAACTATGTGCTGGCTACCTCTCAGAGCTGGGGATAGAGCAGTGATGACATCAGGTGAGGCTGAAGAAAAAACCAGGTGAAAAAAAATAAGCAGGAGTAGAGTGAGAAGATATTAGAAAGCATGGTTAGCAATGTCCCTCTAAATGTCCCTGGTGTGCAATAATACTTCAGAAAATAGTGGTTTCTTTCCCTTCACATTGTTTAGTCCCAAAACACAAGGGTATTTTAATTTAGGATATCTGCTCTGGGGAACTAGGAGCTCCCTGACCTTCAGGATTTGTTATTATATTCCCAAGATATAGCTGAAAACTTGGCACTTAGTAGATATTTAATAAGTATTTGTTAAATAAATGAATAGATGAATACAAGTCTTGGAAAACAGAATAGTCTGCACCTAGGCTAGTTTAAGAAAAGACTGAGATGCGACCAGGCACGCTGGCTCACGCCTGTAATCCCAGCATTTTGGGAGGCCGAGGCAGGAGGATCATGAGGTCAGGAGATTGAGACCATCCTGGCTAACATGGTGAAATCCCGTCTCTACTGATAAAAAAAAAAAAAAAAAAAAAAAAATTAACCTGGGCGTGGTGGACGGTGCCTGTAGTCCACAGCTACTGGGAGGCTGGGCAGGAGAATGGCACTTGAACCCGGGAGCGGAGCTTGCGGTGAGATCAGAGGCCACATGCTAGCTACTCAGGAGGCTGAGGCAGGAGAATGGCATGAACCCGGGAGGCGGAGCTTGCAGTGAGGCGAGATCAGGCCACTGCTCTTCAGCCTGGGCTACAGAGCGAGACTCCGTCTCAAAAAAAAAAAAAAAAAAAAAAAAAGACTGAGATGCTTGAGGGCAATCTATGTCCTTTTAAACTTCATATATCCAGTGTATCATGTTCCTTACCACATGGCAGTCTCCAAATAAATATTTATAAAATTCAACTGAATGAATTCCTGCCTGAGAAAGTATGTTGGCATAGCTAATATTGCTCTTCCATTATTAAATGTGTTTTTTTCTATTAGTATTTTATTTGTCTTCACATCACTGAGAGGGAGTATCCATAGAGCTAGCAAAAGCCACCTCTGAGAAACAATCAATTGTTAATAATTCACTAAGAAATATTAAACAAGGGAAATACGTTTATTTCCCTGGAGGGAATCAAATGTCATACACACACACAGGGTTTCTATTTCGAGCTTCTCCAGTATTACAGAACTACAGGTCAACAGAATAAGCTCAAGTCATGAGAGAAAGAAAAATTTGCTGTTCTCTATCCCTGACGGGATTAAAATATCACTATTTGGCAGTGGTCTTCATAAAATAAATTACTTACAGCTGCATTAGAGATTTTTTTCAGTTCTATAATTAGAACAAATTTAAAAAATTTGAATAAACTTTTAATACAATAACACACTAATTATATTCCTTTATTTCTTTTTCTAATGAGGACAGCACATTTTTATTTTATTTATTTTATTTTTCAAGATGGAGTTTCCCTCTGTTGCCCAGGCTGGAGTGCCGTGGTGTGATCTCGGCTCACTGCAACCTCTGCCTCCTGGGTTCAAGTGATTCTCCTGCTTCAGCTTACCACTAAATGGGATTACAGGCACCTGTCACCACACCCGGCTAATTTTTGTCGTTTTTTAGTAGAGATGGGGTTTCACCATGTTGGCCAGGCTGGTCTCGAACTCCTGACCTCAGGTGATCTGCTTGCGTCTGCCTCCCAAAGTTCTGGGGTTACAGGCATGAGCCACCATGCCTAGCCAGCACATTTATTCACTAAACAAATATTGATTGAGTGCTTCCTATGTGCTGGATACTGTTTTATTCCTGAGGTTATAGCAGGTAACCAAACAAAAATCTCTGTCCATTACAGAGCTTATTAATCCATGTGGTTTTAGTTTACTCACTCTGTTCTACGTTATTTTTCAATTCAAAGGTTCATGTAATTTGCAGTTTGTTTGAACATATGATTGTCAGTATTGTTCCTTCAAGCCTTGTTTTTGATTAGAATGGCTCACATGTTCATTTTCTATAGCTAATTTAGTTACTTCTTAAGATACACTGTTATAACTAGGACTAGATTTTAAATAAAGTAATTCCATAAACACTGGACAGTATGGGTAATTTTTTTTTTCTTAATTGGAAACTGTGTGCTTCTTGCTGGACTAAGGCAGAGGATGCAAAGATAGAGCTGTAGTGCTGCCCCTAAGGAGTTCTCAGTTTAGCTGGGATGAGGTTCCCTCATCAGGAAATGACTTGCTCCCAAAGGAAGGCCTGAGCGGGACTTTAACTAACTTGTTTCTCAATCCCCTGCTAGTCTTTCTGTAGGGAAAGTGCTGAAGTGACAGTTTATCTCTAGACTCAGCTCACAGGGGTTTCCAGTGCTTGGGGTAACCTTATGAAGTGGGTGGTCCAAATGAGAGCCTGATTATTCATTAGGCACTAAGCATATGCTTAGGACACCAACAACAGAAAAGGCACCGAAAACATGAGGGAGCATTTTGAAATTATTCTGAAATTTAGAATTAAAACAACAACAACAACAAAAACCAAAACAAACAAAACAAAACAAACCTCATGGGAGCACCAGAAATTTGTAAAATGTCCTCGCACTTGTTTTCTGAATATATATTTACATATGGGTTGATGAAGGCCATAGCATTTTCAGCACTGAGGATGCCAAAGGTCTTAATTTGGCCTAGATTCTTAGGGTCAGAGCTCATGATAACATCAGAACTTACTCTGGTTGTGATCTTTTTTTAAAAAAACAACCGTAAATCAGATCATCTGTTTATCCTGGCAAAACATTCCAGTGGTTCCAAGTGCATTGTGCTTAGAATAAAATGGAAACTCTTTACCAGGGTCTACAGGGCCCTGTATGACTTGGACCTGCCTACCTTTTCAAGCTCAACTCCAGCCACTCCCTCTTTTCTATGTGGTCCAGTCACACGGGTCTCCTTTGACTTTCTCAAATGGGGAAAGCTTGCTCTCATGTCAGGGTCTTTTCATTTCCTTTCATCTCACATGCTCACCTCTTCCTCATTTTTTTTTTTTTTTTGAGACGGAGTCTCGCTCTGTTGCCCAGGCTGGAGTGCAGTGGCGTAGTCTCGGCTCACTGCAACCTCTGCCTCCTGGGTTCAATCAATTCTCCTGCGTCAGCCTCCTGTGTAGCTGGGACTACAGGTGCATGCCACCATGCCCAGCTAATTTTTGTATTTTTAGTAGAGACGGAGTTTCACTATGTTGGCCAGGATGGTCTCAATCTCCTGATCTCGTGATCCACCCGCCTCCACCTCCAAAAGTGCTGGGATTACAGGCATGTGCCACCACACCCGGCCATCTTCCTCATTTTTTAGGTCACCACCTCCTAGAGCTGTCACCACCTCCTAGAGGCCTTTCCTGTCCAAGCTAGCGAAAGTTGCCCTACCCCTCCTCCCACCCTCTATTTTATTACCATGTTTTCTCCTTGGCAATTGCCAAACTCTGTGTGTTTGCATACATGCTTTGTCTTGGAATGCAATCTCCATGACCAGGGAAACCCTGGTGGTCTCGGGGCATCACTATATGATGGTCAGGATATAGCACAGTACCTAGCACACTTGCAGATTATCAAATATGTATTGGATAAAGGAATGGATGGATGACGGATATTGCCTGACCTCATTCCAACAGAGCTCTCAAAAAAGAAGCATATTTTAAATTGTGTCCATTTTTGTCTTTTCCTCTTTATACCTCAGCTCTTGGTGGTCTGGCTTTTTACCCTGTAGTTCTGCTCAAAATGAGATGTCAAGCAATATCAATGAGCTCTACTTACAGGTCTTCATATTACTCCTCTTGATTCCCAGTTTTACTTTTGTAGTTCAGTCTTTTATTATCTCTCAACAATCCTATTATAATGACCTCCAAAGCATTTTCCCCACTTCTGGTTAATTCTTTCTCCAATCCTTCCTTTGCATAGCCTACAGAGAGCTTTCTAAAACATGGTTGTAATTATGCAAAACTTTCATGGTGCCAAGCTCTTCCCT